CCACACACACAAGTGTCCTCTCCTTCATTATAATGTTAAAGTGTCCGCCTGGGAGCTCGGGCTTTTCAAGCTTATGCCCTATGCCCGCACAACCTCATGCCTCCCTCCACCTGCAGTGACAAGGCTCCCCTCGCTGGGCCCCAAATGAAAAGAACCCGCTCATCTCTGCGCGGGGAGTCCCGGCTTTGGAGGTTCTTCCCCTCCGTCTCTGAGTCGCCCAGATCAAGTTTCCCGTGTGACCACCGCTCCTGGCGTATAGTCTCTGCCTGTAGCTCGTGTTAGACGGAGCAGGATCTGGACTCGGGTCCCCTGAACCCCGACCCCGAGGAAGGGGGAAAGAGCTAAGACTTTATGCCTTGTAGCGCATGTTGCAGGAAGGTGGAGGGAGGATGCCGACTTGAGGACCTCACCAAAGCAGTCTGTGCCGAGGAGGACCCAGCTCTGCCCTCTCGCTGACTCCCTCCCTCGCGCCTCCCTCACCTGAATACGAAAACTTACCCTGGGGGTGGGCATTTAATGTGTTAGCCACCTTCAAGTGCACCAGTGCTAATAAATCTCCACCTGTGTTCAGACGGCATCCCTTTCCCCACCTGAACTCTTTTTAATGTTTATTTATTTTTGAAGAGAGAGAGACAGAGAGAGAGAACACAAGCAGGGGAGGGGCAGAGGGAGAGGGAGACACGGAATCCGAAGCAGGCTCCAGGCTCCGAGCTGTTAGCCCAGAGCCCGACGCGGGGCTCGAACTCGCAAGCCGTGAGGATCATGACCTGAGCCGAAGTCGGACGCTCAACCGACTGAGCCACCCGGGCGCCCCGAGACTAATGGGTACATATACTCTGAGCGGCAGGGAGAGGAGACCCAAGAACCAGCCGCACACAGCGCCGCACGTACAAGAGTCCTCGGTGCCTGCAAACGGGAGCATCACACACACGAGCGGTTTCTGTCGCGCTGAAAACAAGCTTGAAAATCCAACAGAAACCTGAACAAAGCTGGGTTTTTTCCCGCAAGTTGGAACATTCGAATCAAACCCTAACCAAACCCTTGCGTGCCCACGGGTGTGGCGTCCCCTCGCACACGGAAGGGACCCCACCTCGCTCGCACGCACGCACGCACGCGGTTCCGGACGGCAGGAGTGAGCGGATCGGGGCGTCCCGGCACGTCACCAGCGTCCCCCCAGGGCGGGAACTCTGTACAGGTGGCAGAGAGGCCGCGCAGAGTCAGGCTGTCATCCGGGACCGCGGGTCTGCGGCTCCTCCCGGCGGGACTCTGGGCCGCCCTGCCCGCTGCTTCCCCGAGACCCCGGGAGGCGGACGTGCGTTTACGTGCAGCTGCTCTGGGAGCTGGCGACCCGTCCAGACAGAGATCTCACGGCGTGGAGAGGAGGGGTCTCCCCTCAGAGGTTCTACCAAACGAACGGGAGCTCACGACTGTATCTGCGACATCGTTTTGAGACAGGTCACTTTCTTAAGAAAGCACTGGGTCCCCTGTAAACGGCCGTGTATTTCTTTGTAGTAACATGTAGTCGGAATCGGTTCTCCAATCTGATTCAATCTCCGAGCAGCAGGATTAAAAATTAACTGTTTTAAAACCCGGATAAAAAAAAAAAAAAAAAGACTACAGTATTAAAACTCTACCAGAATGCTCCGGTGATAAAGGTATTTCTGTAGGGAAACATTAAAGCTTTTTGGAAGCTACTGACCCCTGACTCCTGCCCAGAACACAATCCACATTTCTGGGAAGTGTTCTGGTACTTACACCGGGACTAAATTATTGCAGGTTAAGCTTCCCTTGCCCCAGAGAACACTCTAGACCGAATTCGCCGAACAAATTGAGGAACATAATCACCAACATGATTCATGTTTTATTAAAAATACAATTTTTTTCTTTTACCAAGTCAGGCTGAACATCCCAGGCCTCTATTAAGAAGTGAGAAAAATACACTTAAAATTTTTTCTGAAAAACTCGTCAGAAAGTCAGTAACCGTAAAGAACAAGGTGGTCAGGGGAAGGCCGACTAGAAGTCTAAGAATTCAGTAAAATGGGGCATCTCGGACCTGTGGGACCCTGTCTGGCCCGCACGTCGCCATTTCTAACGAAAGTCCGTCCAGGTGCCTGACGGCCCTCACGCTGACCCAACACGTGGGCGCTTGGGCTCGGCCGGTGCCGGAAGGACGGACGGAAGGACGGACGGGTGAGGCCGGAGAGCGCCAGCAGGATGGTCTGGGAGAAGGGCCCCTGGGCCCAGAGCAGACTCACCACAGCCGCTGAAGTGTCTCTCGGGCGGTGTGGCCCCTGCCTAGAAACCGCACGGCCCGCTGCGCGAGGAACGACCGAAACCCCACGTATCCCGGTTTAGAATGAAGCACGACAGAAAGGCTAACTCGGCCTCCTTAGGGCAAAACACCATCTGGGGAAAGATTACTTGCTTCCCATAATGAAACGGCTAAGGGCAACCTTTGGCGTCTTTTCCCTTCTCACGACACGGGGCAGGGAGGAGACTGTGGAGACCCTGCAAGTCCCCCCTCACCCCCGGGGATGAGGCTCATGAGGGGAGGCGAGCCCAGGAGCTAAGACCGCGGCATTTCCCTCCTCAAGCTTCTACAGGAGTTACAGACAGACGACAGGAGAGCTGAGCTCAGCGGCCTGCTGGGGTCCCTTCCAGAAAGTCCTTTCAGTCACCAGGACCCAGGGGACTCTGGACTCAAGTCCGTCAGGAGAAAGCAGTCCGCCGGGCGTGACGGCTCATCGTGGGCCAGGTGGGGACCTGGGCACTCCCCTTCCACGCTCCCCAAACCCGAGCCTGTCAGCACCGCTCTGATCACCCCACATGGCGGATGAGGAATGAGGCTCACGGTCACCCAGAGCCACAGAGCAGCCACCGAACACGGGGCCAAGGTTCCCACCACGCATCCGCGGTTCTGTCTCAGCGCTTGGGACAAACACGCTTCGAGCTCCTGGCGGTGGGGCCGGCCGTCCCGGCCCCCCCCCCC